AAAAAAAACGAACTTCGGTTGTCATTTCCTAACAACGCAAATCGTGAAAGACAGGAATCTCTCTCGAGTGAGATTAATAGTCTTTTAATTATTCTCGCGAAGGCTTTTAATTTCCGTCGTGGCGCATTAACGGAGGAGCCCCCACTCCTCTCTGTATCGCATTTATCAGGGTTATGGACGATCCACCCCTTATAAATCAAATGCTGTATAGAAAAAGGACGGTTTTTCAAGACGCGGGGCGTTTCAAATTTTTATAAATTTTTCTGAATTACTTTTTCGCGTTTTTAAAGTGTGCATCATGTTCAACGCGTCATTTTTACCTACAGAAAACTGAGTTCGTAGGTCAAAATTTGTTCATGGTTTAGTGATCCATTTCTGACTCAGTTTAAGAACAACGTAAGTACCATTTTGCCGAGCTATGTAAAAAAGCCATAAAAGCAGTCAAATGCTGCCAATTTTCTTCTAAGAAGATATTTATTTTTTAAGAAAATCAGGACTATTTTTGCTGGAAATTTTCAGGATTCTAAATCAAATTTCGAACAAAATCTTCCGAAAAATCGAAAGAGAAATATTTACTATTTTCCTGGACTTTCCTATAACTATATTTAAAAAAAAAAAAAAAAAAAAAAAAAATCCTTGAAATTCATTGTTTTAGAATGAAAATTGGCAGCGCCTGTAGGCACATACGGCGTTTTTCCTTAGCACGGTGACATTAGTTTCCCTATGCATATAATTGTTTTTACGGATGAGCCAGAAATTGTAATTGGACGTATTTCTGTCAAACGGAACTAAGTGCATTATGACGTAAGCCCTGTTGTGCATGTATTCTTATGGGTCTTAAGGCTCTTGTCTTAATGCACATAGTTCCGTTTGATAGAAATACGTCCAATTCCCAGCTGCAAAATATGATTCAATTTATAGGGGGAACTACTATCTCCAGCCTCACCACAAAGGCATGCTTCTGCATATGGAAACAAATGGCACGTACGTTGTTTGTAAAATGAGCCGGAAACATAGTAATGTGTTCATGCAAAATGGAATCCATATACGCTTCGAAGCTGATGGAAAAATATACAAACTATATGCTCTCTTTCGATAAAAAGGCAGTGTGAATGTATGATTGGTTGGTAAATAAATTTGTTTCTAAGGAAATGTCCAAAACGCATTCCCTGGATTATAATTGCTCAGTGCGTTAAAAAGCTTCCGAATTGACATGACGAAGCGGGATTGCCCCAATCGTTTTTGCTATTCGGGCAGCCTTTAAGTGGACGTATTTCTGTCAAACGAAACTTTGTGCATTATGATGTGAGCCCCGATATGCATATGATATTCTTATGGGTCCCGGGGCTCATATCTTAATGCACATAAATCCGTTTGGCAGAAATACGTCCAAGTGAGAGGAGAGTGATTTTTAAGGCGGCGCGTTGGGCACTTAGGGGTGAATCGCGGAGCTAATTCAATTCGTTGCCCCTCCGACTTAAGAGCGTATCTCAATTTTCACCTGACCCCTTTTCTCCGTACAACTCTACGCTTTCTAAGGCTTAAACGGGAATCGAGATATGTCTTTACATCAAAAGAGCACTGAGCGTGAGCGTGTCTGGTCGTGCGTGAAGGTTCAGTTTCCTAGGCAGTGCGCGACGCCGAACTAGCCGCGCGACCGGGTGCAATGATTTTAAAGTTGCCTGTAGGTAGAGTACCTATATAGGGAGAGTGTGGACAAGTCGAAAATTTTGAGGTTAGGTGATGGAACTCTTAGAGCCCAAAAGGGTGGGTAATCTAGGAATTCAAATTATCCAGAGTGATTTATAATCACAATGGAGATGTTGCATGTGTGAGGAATTTGCGATTTGACTTTTGATTTTTATGTAAAAGTTTGCGAGAAACACGATGGTGCTACTGGTTTTCTCTGAAATCATCTTCCAAGCTTAAAAAAAGCTCTCAAGTTGAGGCCAAACTGGAGGGGAGAATCGATCATGAGAAATGAACGAAAAAATTTTGAAAGAACAAACATGAAAGTGGTTTAATGATTTTAACTTCCGCCGCCGCGCCGCGCGGACCGCATTGTGTTTGGCGCAATGCGTTAAGTATTCACGCAGTCTTGTAGGCGCCACGCGTTTCACGCTGACCGCACTGTGTGAAGTATTCATGCATTCTTGTAGGCGCTATCCGTTACACGCTGACCGCAATGACCGCGCTGTGTTTGATGCAATGCGTGAAGTATTCGTGCAGTCTTGTAGGCGCTGATATGTGTTACATGCCGATCGCCGCGCCAATGACTCCCCTTTTCATCTCAAGTCCTCGTCATCATTGCTCTCTGCGCCGTGCCGTCCCAGGCCAAATTGCATGTCTGGTTTCTCTCTTAACTCGACTAATTAAAGGTGCTGCCTCTTGTATCACTGAAAGACGACAAAATTAAAAATTACTACACTCTCAGGAAATGAGAGACTTTGTCGCCTTTTCTCGTTTGTAATTTTTTTTTTCTAAATCCGATATTTTTTTATACCTACAGATTTGCCGCCATGGGCCGCGGCCCATGTGGCCACCCCCTTAATCCGGCCCTGTGGCTTTCCATTGTTTTTTTGGCATCTCTGATAAAACGTCTATCCACAAATTAACAACTATTCTATATGTCAACAAAAAAAAGCGATGTTCAAGCTAGGGAAAAATTGCCGTAACAAGAATCCCTAAATTCTCCCGACTTATCAGAAATTCCTTGAGAGAGGTATAATCTATGATTGGGATATTTTCAATCTTGATCTATCTACTTTTTCATCCCTCTTCTATTTTATCTTTCCTGAAGAAATGGCATGCTAGCGTGCCCCTTGTTTCCCTGCTTCGCTTCACACACCTCTTGTGAAAGCTCGGCTTTACCAGCTCAATCAATCAACACCTGAGTGCCTCCCGCCACACAGTGGATCGAGTCATTTAGAGAGGTCGGACAAGAAATTTTTGATGTTTACTTCGTCACATTTGAAATTTCAAGGAGTGATTACTGTGAATAATTTCACGAGGAAACCAGTGAAACCACTTTTAAAACCTCAAAATTTTTTACAAACGGATTTATAAGCGTTTAAAGTTTCCAAATTTTGTCCAACCTCTCTTACTGATTCCATCCACTACGCGCCACAGGAAGAATCACGTAATGGCAGCAAACGTGCCTTCTGAGCACCGATTCGATCAGCTATCTCGTTCAAAGCTAACTTAAGGAGGCAACCAGTGAGTCGATTATTGAATTATTGTTGAATGACCTTGATCGATAAAATCCTTTTGTAGCGATGAGTTATCAATCGAAGTCCTTCGATAACGAATCAGAAATCCAGAAGGAAGGAAATTGCAAGACGACCAATTTCTATTAAAGATTCACGAGGTAATAGGGTGTGATTAGAGATAACGACGTGAAAAGTGGTCGTATTTAGGATTAATATTTGAAATATCTCGGGGCTTTCAATAATAGTGATACATATAACGACACATAACTTTTAAATTTTGTTCCTCTCGCAATCTTGTTCCGCGTTTATTCTCTGACAGTGCTTTTCACTTTCTCAGGGCGTCTGCTAAAATTTCATTGGGGATTTTCTTCAAATTTTCCTGATTTATTCTGATATTTTAGACGAGATTTCCTACTTTAACGCGCGTGAATAAATTGACAATCGTTTGTTTGAAAAAATTAACATATTTAATGAATTTAATCAAAGGTTGGAAAATCCTTGAACATTCCTTGAGGTATGTACCCATTAATTCCTGATCCAGAACAGATTTTCCTGATTTTTCCAAATATCATAGAATTTCTAAGTATTTTCCAGTTTCCCAATTTTTACTTGGGATTTTCCTGATTTTTCCTGATATTAAGACAAGATTTCCTGATTTTATCCGCGCGACCCTAGATTTGTTTGATTGAAAAAATCAACATATGTATTTAGTGAAATGAGTCAAAAGTTGGAAAATGCTCGAAAATTGCTCGCGGCACCCAGAATTTCCTGATTCATAACCGATTCTCCTGATTTGTCCTGATAAATCGAATTTTTAGGTATTTTCTGGTTTTCCCGGATTTGCACTCTGTCTTGCGATTTCCTACTGTAGAGTAAGTTATGTTAAGGTGCTCAATGCCCTAAGATTTGTGGTTTGAAAGAGAGCAGTGGTGGTTAGAAGTCGTAGAGCGCGAGAAAGTGCTGTAAAGCGACTTATATGTATGTGGAGTCAGTTATGCTAAGAAGTTAAGAATTGGACATTAAACATGTTTGAAACCTTCGAGAATCCGGTTAATTTACCTCTTTGTTTCCAGGGCGGCTCGCCTTGGCCTCAGATGGAGCCGTACGACGAGGACCGGTTGCCTTTGGGCGTGGCCAACGCGAGCCTGAGCCTCAACCTGACGAGCCTCTTCGGGGATTGGCTAAACCTGAGCGAGGGGGCCGGGGCGGGGGCCGACGGGGGCCCGCCCCCCACGGCCGGGACGACGACGGACGAGCTGCTGACGCTGTACATGATCTTCGTCCCGTTCATGGTTCTCTTCTGCCTCGCCTCGGTCCTCTTCAACATGGTCCTCCTCCTCTCCGTCTGCTGGATCCAGAAGCCCATCTCGCCCACCCTCCACATCACTCTTAGCCTCGCAGGTAACTGATGCGGGAGAATCGCCTTTATTTTCATTTTATCGCTTAGACTCAGAGGCAGTGTTCGAAACTCACAGGCGCCAACGCGCCAAATGCACCTAAAAAATCGGCCAGGGCGCCTAAAAAATGAAGGCTCTGCGCGCCAACGTGGCCTCATAGAGTACATAGAGTCGTAATGTAAATGGGAGAGCTGGCGCCATGTTCTGCTCGACGAATTCTGAGCCCGGTGTGCGCCGAGTTCAGGTCACTTTTTCAATAGATGTTTGATCCAAAATGGCGGTGTGGAACACGTGGTGATCCCTATCCTCTTTGTTTACATCGGATGGCCGGTTACCCGTGTATCGCAAACAATCGATTATGTATCGAAAAAGTGACCCGGCGTAACACAGGAGTCTTGGAATTCGGGACCTGGAAAATGCTTAAAAGTGGCGCCAGCTCACCCACTTACATTACGACTGTATGTACTCTATGCGTGGCCCCTAAAAATTGCCCTCTAAAAATCTGAATTTTCATATTGGGTGATTATTCGAAATTTTCAGCACCACTGGTGAAAGATTTTTCTAGTTTTCACGATTTCATCATTTGTGCTTTTGTCTTCCCCAAGTTACAACTACTTACTAGTTCTGTTACGAAAACATCTTGCGTCTATATTTTCACTAAATGCGCCGTAATATATAGGCAAAAAGTAAATTTGGCAGGAAGCACACAGGGTCTCAGAGTGCTTTCCCTTCCAGAATTTCTCCTGAGGGTGCCACCAACGAGCCCTGAAAGCGGCACATTCCAATCAAAAAGTGCAGGGTGTTTTGGCGTAGTCAACGGACTATAATTTGGTTTTCTGAAAGTTGGAAAGAATGACTTGGTGTCCTTTCAGAGGCGTAGGAAGGGGGGGCAGGGAGAAGGGGCTTGGCCCTCCCCAGAATTGAAAATAGTATCATCTGCCCCCCCCCCCAGAAATTCTGGATGGTGCAAAAACACCTTCTTCAACGGTAAGTCTCTGTCACCGTGGCCCGTGAGAGGATGCCTTTAAATAGAATAACCTGTCGAATGCAACAATTTCAAAGTATTTTAACCTTAAAATGCATAAAACTGGGTGATTTTTAGGCAAAAATTGAAGGAAGATTAGTGCCACAAGAGCCTCGAAATGCGCTCAAATACAGTTAAAATTTCAAAAAATTTCCGGGGGAGGCCTCCCGGTGGTGGGGGGCCAGGCTCCCCTAGCAAAATGACCTAGCTACGCCTATGTGTCCTTTCGGTTTTTAATGTTTGACATGTTGATATTTCAGGGTCGGACATGTTCACCTCGTTCAACCTGGGGTTCGGGCTGTTCGTGAACTCGTACCTGCCGCGGGTGCACGGGATCAAGGCCTCGGACTGCTTCG